CCCTCACTCTCTCCTGGTTCTGGCCTTCTGTAGGTCTGCTCTAATATATTTGTCATTTAGCATTTTATTTTTATATGTAGTATGTGTCCAAAGGAGCATCCCCAACCCTAACATCACTTACATTATGCTCAAAGTATATTGATGCCTCAATATTGCATGAGTCACATATATTACTCTGTATGAACACAGTCATTCAGTGTTCTGTCGGGGATTTTAGTCCCACGAATGAATGAATGAATGACTTCTGCAACAAAACAATGAACAAATACTAATAATGGATTATGGGCATAACAAATAATGATGGTTTGATATAAGAATTACTTTAAATATAAGGCCACTTAGTGACCCTGAGATCTCTGAACCTCTGAATCTGTTACCTTTTTTTGCAAACTGCAGGGGCATTCAATAAATAGTCGCTGCTGCCATTATAAATATTTTTATTTGCATAATTATGGTAATTGTCATTCTCAAAGTACTTTTAGGTTCATTATTCATTCATTCAACAGATATTCATAGAGGGTCTACCAAGTACCAGGCACCTTGCCAGGCTCTGGGAAACTGGTGAGCAGAGGAAACTGTCAGGAGCTCATCGGGCTCTGAGTTGGTAGTTCTCGATCAAATAATGCCACAACAGTACCAAGGGCCACTCCTCACCGTTCAGGGTCAGGGGAGGGAGACGAAGATGTCATTTGCGGGCCATGTCCTGAAACAGGAGTTTCATTTAACTTTCTCAGGCCAGCGCCTCAAAGCAGTTAGGGTGGCTAGGCAGGTGTGATCGCCTGCATTTCACAGATGAAGAATCTCCAGGCCACACAGTTCTGCTCGAGGCCCCTACTCCTCTTTCCGAGCAGGGAAGGAGGAGATGCTAAACAAGCGCGATTATGAGTTGGCGTCGCTACACGAGGTGCGGGCATTAATGCGGCGCCATGAGGCCTTTGAGAGCGACTTGGCGGCACACCAGGACCGCGTGGAACACATAGCTGCGCTGGCCCAGGAGCTCAAGTAGGCGGGGCCCGAGGCCCGGCCGCTCCCAGTGACAACGCCCCTCCCTGCCTGGCCCCGCCCCTAGGCGCCGAGCCCCGCCCTGATCTTCATTGCCCTCTGACACTTCGTTCTCCCTGGTTCTCCGCCACTCCTCCCTTATCCCCATCCCTATCACCGGACCCGCTCTGCTGCCCACACGCTTTCCACCGGCACTCGCCGGCCCACCATTGTGGCCAGCCCGCTCCTCTCAGCTCGAGCTGGGTCTGCTACCGCCTTGCCACCTCCTCCAGTAACCCTGTCCCTCTATTCAAGCTCCCCGAGGAACTGGACCTGAAATCAGTGGGCACACCTATTCCCCTAGGACCACGCTGTGAACATCCCCTTCGGGAAAGCCCCGCTTCACCCCCACCTGCCCTGGCTACCTTACACCTGCACCACCATCCAGGGCGAGGGTCAGGAGGCAATCTGGGCTGCAGTCTGGCCCCACAGTCACCCCATCTTCTGGCCCCCAGTGAGCTGGACTACCATGAGGCCGCCTCAGTGAACAGCCGCTGCCAGGCCATCTGCGACCAGTGGGACAGCCTGGGAACGCTGACCCAGAAGAGGCGGGATGCGCTTGAGGTCAGGGTGGGGGCTAGGGAGCTGGGGGTCGGACACTGGAGACAGGGGAGGGAGCCTAGCCTGTTGGGCAGACTGCTGACTCCTCCGCCATTCCTGCGGTCCTCAGAGGATGGAGAAGCTCCTGGAGACCATCGACCAGCTGCAGCTAGAGTTTGCACGGCGGGCAGCACCCTTCAACAACTGGCTGGATGGGGCTGTGGAGGACCTGCAGGACATGTGGCTGGTGCACTCAATGGAGGAGACCCAGGTGGGCGTGGGTGTTCTGGGGGGCTGGGGCTGCATGAGAGACAGGCCTAAAATCCTGTCAGCCACTCCTTTAGGCTCTTGAGGAATGGGGATGGAAGGAAACCCCAGTTCCTGAGCACTGGGCTAGGAGACAGGAAAACTGGGTTCTTGAGCCAGCCCTGTCCTAGACCACTGGATGGCCTGGAGCATGTTGCTGCCCTTTCTGTCACCTACAGGAAGTGGAGGGTCCTGGCTGATCCTTCCTGCCTGTTGCCCCCAGAGCCTGCTGACAGCACATGAGCAGTTCAAGGCAACGCTGCCCGAGGCTGACCGAGAGCGGGGTGCCATCCTGGGTATCCAGGGTGAGATCCAGAAGATCTGCCAAACTTATGGGCTGCGGCCCAGCTTGACCAACCCCTACATCACTCTCAGCATGCAAGACATCAACACCAAGTGGGACACGGTCAGTGCTGCCTGTGGCCGCTCCCTGCCTCCCATCTGCTCCTGAGAACTCTAATCACCCTGATACCTCAGGTGTCCCGAGATAAGGATCTGGGGTCTGCCAGACCCGATGTGGTGTTGGGCAAATCACCTTGCCTATTGGCCTCATCTGTAAAGAGGCCAGAACAGCAGCATTTTACTGTCAGCATTTTACTGATGTTAAGATAAATGAAATCTAGTGTGGGCATCATTTATAAAACAACCTGTTAGTTATAAATGAGGTTGCTGCCCCATTTACTGATGAGGAAACAAGCCTAGAGAGGTTGAGTGATTTGTCCAAGAGCCTGCCCATCAAACCCTGACACCCTGGCTCAGAGCTGCAGGGGCTCTTTGAGGGGCTGGATTCCCCCAGAGCTGCCCCTGGCACAATCACCCTCCTTCCCAGGTCCGAAAGCTGGTGCCCAGCCGTGACCAGATGCTGCAGGAGGAGCTGGCACGGCAGCAGGTGAATGAGAGGCTCCGGCGACAATTTGCTGCCCAGGCCAATGCCATTGGGCCCTGGATCCAGGGGAAGATGGAGGTAAGGCTTGGATGGTGGGGCAGGGGCTGGGCCACCAGGAGCTGGGAGTCCTCATCCTGTCAGGTCCTCTGCAGGAGGTGGGGCGCCTAGCAGTGGGGATGGCCGGCTCTCTGGAGGAGCAGATGGCCGGACTGCGGCAGCAGGAGCAGAACATCATCAACTACAAGAACAACGTTGACCGGCTGGAGGGCGACCACCAGCTGCTGCAGGAGAGCCTAGTGTTCGACAACAAGCACACCGTCTACAGCATGGAGGTGGGATCACACCTGCTAAAAGGGGAGGCAGCACTGGCTGGGGAAGCCTGGGGCAGCCACAGCTGGACACTGCACGTCTGCTGTCCCAGGAGGGTCCCCAGTTCAGCTTGGCAAGTTCCGCCCAATGTACCCATGGGGATACTGAGACCCAGCGAGTGAAAAGCGACCTGTCCAGAGTCATATAGCAGTCTAAAGCCAGGCCAAGATTGGCCATGAATGGTTGATCAATACTTAATAAACCATCAAACTTTAAGGCAGGAAGGGCCCCTGGAAGTCAGAACAGCTTCCAGATGGGTACAGAGGCCCAGAGAGGGGAGGACTTGTCCAGGGTCTGAGTGGATTGGGGGCAGAGCTAGAGTTCGTGGCCAGGCACTGGCTACCCACTGACTTAGCCTATCTCCTGCTCTCCCAGCACATCCGTGTGGGCTGGGAGCAGCTGCTCACCTCCATTGCCCGCACCATCAACGAGGTGGAGAACCAGGTACTGACCCGAGATGCCAAGGGCCTGAGCCAGGAGCAGCTCAATGAGTTCCGGGCATCCTTCAACCACTTTGACCGGGTCAGCAGGGGCCCAGCTCTGTGGTGTGGTGGACTTGGGGGCTAGTGGGGTTTGAGGACCACACCTGACACCCACCACCCACAACAGAAGCGGAATGGGATGATGGACCCCGATGACTTCCGAGCTTGCCTCATCTCCATGGGCTATGACCTGGTAAGTGCCCCCTACCCTTGTCCCAGGAGTCTAATCAGTGCTCTGTCCCATGTATGGATCACCTGCTATGTGCCTCCCACCTTAACATCCATGATCTCATTTTCTCATCAAACCCATTCAGGCTGGGTAAAAGTACCCCATTTCAGACAGGAGCTATGAAAGTATCAGAGAGGTAGATTAATTTGTTTAAAGACACAAAGCTGGAAATTTGGACCTAGTTCTGTGTGAATCCAAAGCCTCAGCTTGCAACATTTTTACTCAGAAAAACGGCACTACAGAGAGCCCCAGGAACAAAGATCAGGACCAATGGGCAAAGGGGCACTGCAACAGGCAGGAAGCAGATTTCAGCCTAGTAGAAAGGCCTTCCTAAAGTCAGAGCTGGCTAAGGCTGCAGATATGGAGAAAGAGAGCACCCTGTTACTGGGATTGTCGAGCCAAGGCTGGACAGCTGAGGGGACATCAGGAGCCCTCCTGGCTTTAGCACCCATGGGCATCATGCCCAATCTCTATCCTTGCAGGGGGAAATGGAATTTGCTCGAATTATGACCATGGTGGACCCCAACGCAGCTGGGGTCGTGACCTTCCAGGCCTTCATTGACTTCATGACCCGAGAGACAGCCGAGACTGACACAGCTGAGCAAGTTGTGGCTTCATTCAAGATCCTGGCGGGAGACAAGGTGAGTCCCAGGCATGGAGGGGCTGGTGGGCTGGGGCAGGGAATAGAACCTGTGGGCCCTCAATACTTCTTCTCCCCCAGAACTATATCACCCCTGAAGAGCTGCGGCGGGAGCTGCCAGCTGAGCAGGCTGAGTACTGCATCCGCCGAATGACACCCTACAAGGGATCTGGGGCTCCACCTGGAGCCCTGGACTACATGGCCTTCTCCAGTGCCCTCTATGGGGAAAGTGACCTCTGACCTCAACCTGATGTTCTCCATGCAAGTAGGAAAGAAGGCGCTCCCTCTGACTGATCCCATCCATCCCTCAGAGCATGGACCCCCGAGAATGACCAGCCAACTGTTTCTGAATAAAGATCCACCCGTGGGTCTTACTCCATCTCCTTTAGGTTCCTGAAGCAGAAGCCAGGCCCTCAGGCTCCTGGGCAGGACCAGCTGCCTGACCTTAACCCTCCAGGGGTCCCCACTACCCTTTCTTGTCCTCAGGGACTGAGTATTCACACCACATTGGAGCTGAGGACACCTCTTTATTCCTGTTAGAAAAGGGTGGCTACAACAGTTAGACATGGAAGGGGACACTTCCACATCCAAGGGGGACCAGAATTTATAGCATCAGACAGAGAAAAGCCGGGTCATGAAGCCAGAGCCTGCTGAGTACAAGCTGGATTTAAGACCAGAATATCTGCTTCCCACCTGCTCCTTGTCCGAGCTCAGGATTCTTGCCCCAGCTTCGGCGAAGACATCATCCTTCACCCCAAGATCCTCCTAGCTACCACAACTTAACAAAGGTGCAGGTGGGGAACTCCAGAGTGGGAGTGGGGTGGAGGGAGGGAGGGTCTGTACTGCTAGCCCAGTGCCCTTTGCTCACCCTGAGGTACCAGGCACCCATCCCTCAGCCAGCTGTGCCTCCTGGGGAGGGGCCTGGAAATGCAGGTCAGACTGGGGGAGGGGCCGCTCTGGTCAATACCAGGTTCTGAGCTGGTTCTCCTCAGTTCACCACCGCCGAGCTGGCCATGATGTTCACACCACAGGCCCCAGACCCACGATGCAAGTAGTAGTAACCCTGACAGAGGAGGAGGGGTGGTTGGTGAGAGCACAAGGGCAGGGTGGGGGCTGGAGGGTCCGGGGCTTAGTGGCAAGACTCACCTCCTCGCCCCAGTCAGTGCCCCAGCTGTTCTTGATGGCCCAGAAGGGAACATCAGAGCCTGGGAAGCAGGGGGGAGTGCAGGGAGTCAGGGCCCCAAGCACTCTGCACTCTTCAAATATCTGCTGTGGGCCTACTGTGTGACAGGTACTAGGAAAACTGCAGGAAAAAAAGAGGCCCACCTACCACCCTCCTGGAAACCTGGTGGGGCTCTGTCTGGGGTTCGGGAAGGGTACCTATCTATGCCCCTCCTCAGCTTTCCCATCCTCAGAGGGGATGGATGACCCCACCTGGCCCACAGCTGGAGACAGGGGTGAGGACAGGGTTCTTAGGCTTTCCCCAGATTTCCCCCCAGTGGTCCTGAGATGCTGTGGTTCAGCCTCTGCCTGTGGCCTGGGATGGGTGGGCAGAGAGGTCAGCAGAACTCACGGTTGCCATAGCCCACAAGCAGCACAGCGTGGTCAATGAGCCAAGGGCTGCAGAGAGGCCGCAGTGGGCGGGAGATCCCATGGCGGTAGAACTGGGGAGGGAGAAGAAGCAGTAGGGGGCCAACTCCAAGGAGAAGTGGGGAGGAGTCAGAGAGAAATGGAGCAGGGGCAGCGGGGCTGGGGCCTTACCTGCATGCCAAAGGCGTTGATGGCAACGGAGATGGGACCATTCTTGGCCAGCCAGGCCGCCAGCTCTGAGACGGGAGGGGCAGCATCAGGCCCCAGCCCCGTGTGGCCTGTCCCCTCCCCACTCCTCACTCACCTTGTTCATTCTGGCTTAGCTCCACTGAGTCGTTGATGTAAACCTTGACCTTCTTTTCAGAGAAGCTGCAGGTCTGTAAGTGGCCACTGTAGCTGTAGTCATCCTCTGTCTCTAGCCCTCCTGGGGGATGTGGAGGGTAGGTGGGGGAGTAGAGGAAAGGCAGACCCTGCTTGCCATACTCTCGTCTTCTACCCGGAGGCTGTGCTAAGCCCCTTATACACAAAGCCTCACATTCCTCAGCCACCCCAGGTCACAGGCCATGCCCTCTGAGGAACAGCCTCATTCTAGAGATGGCACAACTGAGGCTCAGGGGGTTGAGGGAGTAACCACCACCGAGAAATGTGGCAGATGGAACTCAGCTCCCGACTTCTGACTCCTCGCTGTCCCTGCTTTCCTCAGACCTTGGCTTGCCTGTCCTGCTCTGACAGGACCCGGCCCCGACTCTGTACATCTCTTGTAGGGCATGTGTGGCTCCCAGTCTGGCCCGACCCCACCAGGCTCCCAGACCAGTCTATATACAGCCACCTCAGTCCCTCAGCCCGTCGTGCTTCTGCCTCTGCGGCCCACTGCTTAACTGAATTTAATTCAACACCTCCCTCAAGGGTGTGGTGTTACTACCTGGTTTAGCAACATCTAGAAATACAGATCTCCAAGCAGCAAAAATGCCGAGATTCTGTTATGTGCCAGGAACTTTACACATATTTCCTCACTTGATACTCAAAGCAATCCTACGAGGTGGGCATGAGCCCCGTTTCACAGATGAGGCAAGTGAGGCTCTGAAAGAGCTCACTGCCCAAGGACTTCAACCAGAAGGGTCAGTACAAAAACTTAAACCCAGTTCACGTGACTCCCATGCTCATGTCTCTCCCACCTCACAGAGTGACTTCCTGTGGAGGGAGCAGTGGCTCCCACTGCCCCCCCCGACCCCATTAATGCATACCCAGAGTCTTTATAGCTGAATAGGCGTTGGAGGGCAAGCCGCCCATGCAGGCCTTGTCCACTTTGTCACAATCCACGAGCTCTAGGAGACAGAAGGCTGGTCCCAAGGAGCCCCCAGGAGGGGCTGGGATAGGGATAGGAGGGTAGAGCGGGATGCTCACCCTGCTCAGAGAGGGAGAGCAGGTCCCCTTGTTTCAGGAACCACTGGCCCTCCACGTTGCCTGTAACTGAGAAGGCCCAGCAGGAGCCACACATGCCCTACAAGAGATGGGCAGAGTCAGGACTGGGTCCCTTCCCAACCCCAGGGCAATCTTCATGTCCCACCATCACTTCTAAGGGGTCCAACCTGGTTCTTGACTTTGGTGACAGCCCCCTTCTTCCTCCAGTCCCATTCAGGTGGAGCGTCGTCGCCAATAGACTTAACTGGGTACATCTTCTTGCCAACCTCCTCTTTTAGGAGGGAATTCAGGTAGATGGCGTGGAACTCCTCCTCTGTGGGCAGAGGTGGGCAGAGGATGGGGTGTGGGGGAATTTACTAAGCCAGTCCTGATCAGGGCCTTGGGAACAGGTCCTGTCTCTTCTAAGCTCCATGATGGCTCTGGCCACCACCCCTACCTGTGAGGTCACTGAACTTGGTGACTCCATACTGAGCTGTGCCGCGGTCCAGGGCCTGGATCTTCTCAGCTCGTACCATGTTATTGATAAAGATGGACATGCGCCACTGAGCTTCTGAGGACCAAGGAGCAGGGGAAGAAGGGCTCAGACCCAAGGTAGATCACAAAGGAGGGGGATTTGGGGCTAACAGAGGTTTCCCTGGGGAGTACGTGGGCTCTGTAAGCTCAAGAAGGACAGAACCCTGGGGCAGGTACGGGTGGGGGGGCCAGACCTACAAGTGATAAGAGTGGACAGTGTAATCAACTTTGGGGGCCAAACTGTGGTGATGACTTCCCAGATGTGAAGGCAGAACCAGAATGGGCTCCAAAGAGCATCCCCAGACAGGAGATAATGGGGAAAGGCCACCATGTCAGTGGGCTTCCAGCAGAGAAAATCTGGCCTCTGCCCAGAATAATGGAGGCCCACAGCTTTTGACCAGGCAAATCAGATGGGAGCAGAGGCCAGGTCACTGAGGTGCCTGCCCAGTCCAGGGATGCTGAGCAAGAACTTGAGGATTTAGAGGTCCTTGAAAGGATGCACAACCTCTTCTGCCCTTCTCCTCCCAACACCAAGGTGCCAAATTGGGGAAAGGCCTGCTCTGATTGGGACAGGTACAGCCCAGGCTGGGCCCTCACCTTCCTCTGATTCATACGTCCGGTTATAGGTGGTAACAAACTGTTTGAAGATCGAAGCCATTTTCACAGACAAGTCCTGGTAAGGCAGAGAGATCTTTACAAGGAGACCTTCTCAGACTGACCAGGGAATCCCAGGCCAGGGTGAGGGGAAAAGAGGGGACATAAGGCAGCAACCAGATCCCCAGAGAGAGAAGGGCTCCTCACCTGGGACAGGGGGTCTTCCTTCAACAATGGAAGGAATGAACTGAGAGTGTCGTTTTTGTCACCTGGATAGGGTTGGAACAAAGAAATCAAGCTGAACCCTGAATAAAGTCTGATCCATGCTATCCCAGCATCCTTGGGCTACCCCAGCACCTTTAATCTCGGTATCCACCGTGTCACAGTTCCAGCTCAGCAGCGTGTGTTTTTCTAGCTCATAGAGAACTTCAAAGCTGCAGAGCTGGGGGGGGGGAGAGGAGGAAGCCAGGCTGGGCCCTTGGCTAGATGGCGCTGGAGGCTCCTCAAATAAGGACCACCCCCAAGGCAATCACCCCCACAGTGGAGAGTAAGGCACCACCAACACCTTGACACCCCTTTTATAGCATGGTCTCTGGCCAAGTGACCTGGGTAACTGTTGCCTCAGATCCCTTCTTTTTGGCTTGACCCATCTTCCCAACTGCAGCCAGAGTCAGCACAGGAGCTGGGAATTGAGGGAGCCCCATCACTCACCTGCGGTGTGTCAGAAACAGGGAGCTGGCACACCTTGGGGTTGTCGCAGGGTGACTCCTCCAGTGTCATTTTCAGGGAGTATAGCGACCCCAGGCCCGCCTGGTTGGAGAGGCGGGTGGAGTGGGTGAGGCTGGCATAGCCACTCCCTCCTCAGCCCGTTCTTCTTTGGTCCCACAGCCCCACCGCACCCCTCCCCCTTCCCAGTCCCCAGAGGTGCCCCAGCCGTCCAGTGCCCCACCCTAAGTCTAGGCCCCGCGCCCCCGCCCCCGCCGCGTCCTCACTCGGCGGACACGACCGCTCACGGACCGCAGCACCGCCCGCGCCCCGGCAGCCAGGTCGCGGTTGTACAGCTCCAGGGCGAAGCGGGCGGGCCGCAGCAGCAGCTCTGGGGACGCAGGCTCCCAGGCCTGAGCGCCGGGGGCTCGGCGGGGCGGGGCGGAGGTAGCGCCCGGCAGTAGCCCCAGCAACCACAGCAGGGGCATCCAGGACGCCATCGGGAGGACGAAGCCGGCGGCCCGAACACACGGACAGCTCGGACCAACCGACGCGGCGGAGCAGCCTGCGGCCAGAGGCGCCTGGGTCCCTCCCCTGCTCCGGGCGGCGGGGCATCCGCCAATGGGCGTCCGCCACGGGCGCCTGCGCGTTCTCTTGTTTACGTGAGGCACGTGGGGCGTGCTGGCAAAGCAGGTCGCTCTGGCTCCGTGTGGACCGGCGCGTTCTTGCACAATCCACATCTGCGTGCACGTGGCTGGAGCCCCAGTCTGGAGATAATCCTTTTAGGTCTCTGGAGCTAGCCTGAAAATAAAAATAAATAACTAACATTTATTGCATGCTTGTTATAGGTTTATATATAATCGTGGTAGCAATCCTGTGAAATAGATGGGATCCCAATTTAATGACTAAGGGAATAGAGGCCTAGAGAGATGAAGCAGTTTACCAAACATCGGATACCTGATGGAGCTGGGCTTGAACCCAGGAAGTTGGCCTCAGAGCCTGAATATACAGCTCCATTCCTCTTTGAGGCCTCTCTTCTCATTAGAAAAATGGCAGTTAACATTCCCTGGACTGGCAGTTCCTCAGGCTGTTGTGAGGGTCACACAGTACCATAAAGTATCCAGTTCTTAGCGCCTAGCAAGAGGAGGTGTTAGATTGGACAAGGGTCTCAAGGTCTGGGCCATTCTTACTAAATGTTATTCTTGCTAGATGTTAAAATGTGGCACAGGCCTGGCCTGTGTGGCTTAGTGTTCTGAGTGTCATCCCATGGACTAAGAAGTCACAGTTCCATTCCCCATCAGGGCACATGTCTGGGTTGTGGGTTGATGCAGCCAATCAGTGTTTCTCACATTGATGTTTCTATCTCTCTCACTTCTCTCTCTATAAAAATTAATAAAAACATATCTTAAAATGTAGCAGTATTTTCAGACCAGCTAGAAAAAGAATGAGCTTGACAGGAACCCAATACAGTAAGTGTAGCCAACTGAAATCAACAAGTAACTGACCAAATAGTGTATGTAAGCAATGGCTAAGTTTCCCAGAGACAGAGCTTTGGGTATGAATTCCGTCTTCTTTACTTGCTGCAAGTAAATAAAACTACCTTGCAACAACCACATCTCATTCTTTTTTTTTTTATTCCTCACTCGAGGATATTTTTCCATTTATCATCAGATAAAGTGGAAGGGAGGGAGAGAGAGAGAGAAACATCGATGTGAGGATGTGAAAGAGACACATTGATTGGTTGCCTCCTGCACATGATCAGGGATGAACCACAACTGAGGTACCCTTGACTGAAATTGAACCTGCGACTCATTGGTCTGTGGACCAATGTTCCAGCCACTGAGCCAAACCAGCCAGGGCCACATCTCATTCTTGAACAGAGCACCCCAAGTGGCGAACCCCTTGAGTTGGGTAACATAGGCATGAACAGTTACATTAGGCATAACGCAGTCTAGTGGAGAGACAGATGAGAAAAAGAAATTTTTCCTGCACGATGTTCTGAGCTGAGGGAGAGGAAACAGGAACAAAGGAGTTTAAGGGAATTGGGGAAATCACAGAGTTGATGGGGGTTAGTTTGGGCTTCGAGAGTCGGGGAGCCCAAACTAACTAAGATCATCTAGTCCAGCCCTGGCTCGTATGACTCAGTTGATTGGAGCATCATCCAGTACACCAAAAGGTGGTGAGTTTGATTCCCCAGACAGAACAAATACCCAGGTTACAGGTTTGATTCCCAGTTGGGGCAAGTGCAGGAGGCAACTGATCAATCTCTCTCTCTCTCTCTCTCTCTCTCTCTCTCTCTCTCTGAAATAAATTTTAAAAAGAACAGCCCTGGCTGGTTTTGCTCAGTGGTTAGAGCACTGGCCCGCAGACCAGAGAGTCCCGGATTCAGTTCCCACTAAGGGCACGGACCTCAGTTACAGTTTGTTTCTGGCCCCAGTTGGGGTCATGTGGGTGGCAGCCACTCGATGTGTCTCTCTCACATCGATGTTTCTCTCTCCTCTCTCTCTCTCTCTCTCTCTCTCTCTCTCTCTCTCTCTCTCCCTCCCTCTCCCCCCTGCCCCCGTTCTATCTGAAGATAAATGCAAAAACAAAAAACAAAAAAAGTCCTTGGGTGAGGATAAAAAAATAAAAAAAGATCATCTAGTCCAAACCTGACTTTTTACAGCAGCAAGGATCTAGAGAGGTAAAGTGACTTTCCAACTACTCAGAAATGAGTGCTGGGGCCAGACCAGCCTCAGCTCAGAACTGAGGGATTCCAGCAGATGCTGATCTCTCCCTGCTGGTGCACTCTCCAGTTTAAGCTCTTTGAGGCTCCCCTTGTCTTTCTTACAAGAGACAGCCCAGATAAAGATTTATTCAAAGGTCTTACAGTTTCCAGACTGTAAACACAACTAGGTAATACCCAGAGGGTTTCAGAAAAGAAAGAAAAGCTGAATTCTTAGAGTATAAAGCATGTTCTTGAGAAGAAACTGTTCTGCAATATTAGCCTCTGGACTGGTTGGAGATGGTGATCCTCTGGATGACTGGTGGTCTGGATACTGGATGTCAAGTGGTTTGAATAGTGAACATTCTTTCCTTAGTCCTTCAGGGAGGAACCAGAGGGTTATCTGGAGGTTTGATGTATACCCAGGCATTGACACAGGACTGGAAAGTTTAAAAGTTTAAGTTCTCAAGTTAGTTAAAGGAAGAACAGAATGATTTCTCTTACCACGACCTACTTGATTTTAGTAATATATCAGCTTGACTGCAGTGACTCCATTTTATTTGAGTACACTCTATTCCTAACCTAGCTATCCCTTTCTTTTGAGGCTCTTCATCTCCCTCCCACCTCTGCGTTGTCTCAAATCCTCGGTAATTTGTTTAGTCGGAAAGAGCCGGCAGTGGGGCTGGTTTCTGAGGGCACAGGCTGTGGTCTGACATCTTTTCTCACCATACCTGAAGCTGGGGTCTGGAGTCCAATGCTGTTTTGACTTCTCCCTACCACGGTGTGGCACTGTTGAGGTTTGTTCCTCTCACTTCCCGAGCGTCTGAGCCCTGGAAGAAACTAGGGGTGCTCTCTCCGTGCCCTCTGATCCCCCATGCAGCCACTGGCCTCCAAAACACAGTTACCAGGACCCGGAGGTACGGACAGAGAAGAGTACAGCATCACTGGACAGAAACCAGCCCTAATCTGCTTCCCTTACATGCAGCTCAAAATTTTAAAGGAGCGCTCTGAGCTTCACACCACCTATTTGACATCAACTCTTTGATCTCAGATTTAGGCCAAACTGCATACTTTTTCATCCCCAGCACACTTCAAGAATCCCCCATCTCAGCATATGGCATCACTGTTACCCCAGAGACCCGAAGTGTCCGTGATTCTTGTCTTTCCTTTGTGTCTCACATCTAACCCATCTCTCAGTGCTCTGGATTCTACCTCCTGCTATCTCCCAAATCCGTCCTCTTCTCTATTCTCACAGCCACAGCTCAGGCCCAAGCCATCATCATTGCTTGCCTGACTGGATCCACTCTTGCTTCCAATAATCTCTTCTCCACGCACTAGCTATAGGAAACTCATTGAATATAAACTGGACCAGGTGTAGGCTGTGAAACACAGACTGAGTCTCCCTGCAGGAGTGGACTTGGTGTCCAGCTACTGGGAGTGCTGTCCTTTGCTTTCAGCCCCTTGGAAGTTGACAGAGTCATTCCCCCTTCCCCAGACAACTGCTTGTAATGACAAATTTGAAGGGTCATCCTGTTGTAGACCAACGAGACAGACCAGACTCAGACTCCAAACTGGTTTCAAATTAAGAGCTTTAATAGCCGCGCGGAGACTGTCCCATCTTACAGAGGAGAGAGCAGCCCCGAGCTCAGGGGGAGGGCTGCTTATATAGTTGTCTTAGCCCCTGTTAAGGAATTTGGGCCAAGGGTTCACGAGCAAGCAAGCACGTACAGAAGCAGATATTTGCAGTTAGCCGTTATGCCTGAGGGAGCAAGCAGGTCGGTGTACACAAAGCAGTGGTTATCTATACAATGCAGTGGTTATCTATTAGCAGCTAGTTCTTGCCATTCTCTTACAATCCAGGGGGTAAGGTCTGCCGAATGGGAAAAAATTTTACTGTACATTCACATAGCATGTGTTTGTCCTTTACAATCCAGCTTCAGAACTTCCTGCTGGGAGGGTTCTGGGAGGCAGTCATTGAGACTGCAGGCAGCTCAAATGATCCCTCTGCCTGGTCCTGCTTCCTTCTCTTCCCCCGGTGTTGGCCCTGAGAGCCCCCCTAACAGATCTCCTGCCTGCCTGTCTTGATTTCAGAATCTGCTTCCCAGAAAGCTCAACCCATACCAGACCATATGACTATGCACTATGCCCCTGCCACATTGACCCCCTTCCTGTCCACAAGTTAAGCAATTTCCTGTTTCAGGGCCTTTGCCCTGGCTGTTCCCTCTGCCTGGAGAGACATTCCTTCCTCCACAGAGATCAGGTTTCTTGATAGCTGTCCACTCTCATCCTTGTAGACAAAAAGGGGCCAAATGCCAGCTAACCTGACAAGCTCAGGGAAGGCCTTGCAAACTCAGAGACCTAACGTAACCACAAAAGATGGTCTGAAATAAAAACTTTTTTAAAAAAATATTTTTTCTTTATTGATTATAGAGAGAGAGGAAAGGAGAGAGAGAGATAGAAACATCGATTAGAGAGAACATTGATTGGCCACCTCCTGCATGCCCCCCACTAGGCATCGGGCCCACAACCTGGGCATGTGCCCTGACTGGGAATCAAACTAGTAGTGACTTGGTGCATGGGTCGATGCTCCACCAGTGAGTCACACCGGCCAAGTTGAAATGAAAACTTTTAAACTGAAAGCAGTTCAGAGTGGGTAATCATGTCTTAGGCCAGGATCTTCCATGACAACGGTCAGCTTTCATCTTAATTGAGCCTAGTGTCTTTTTGCTATGATAACATACCTTTGGAATGTCAAGGTACCTTCCCTTTTTCCAGATCCCTCAGGGCACAACCAATGAACCAGGGGGGAGACCACAAATCCCCTTCTTGTTATTATCATATTAATTGTTGACTGGTAATTATTCCTATACCTGCCT